TTATTTTTGTGATTTTTTGTGATTTTTTGTGATTTTTTGTGATTTTTTGTGATTTTTTGTGATTTTTTGTGATTTTTGTGATGTTTCCCGACATTTTTGTTGACTTTTTATATGATTTTTTGATTATTTTTCATCATTTTTTTCATGATTTGTTACGATTATTTCGTGATTTTTTTCTATGGGTGTGATTTTTTTTGAGTGAAAGACCGCTCGGGTTGTTGTTCTCGTTTCGCTCTCTCCGAACAACGTGGTGCTCGCTCACCTCGTATCCGAACGTGGCGGCCATCATGATGAGGAAGAAGCCGAAGAGGGCCTGGAGCATGTGGGGCCCGGCCCTGTCCATGAGCAGGAGCGCGACGGTGTCGAGCAGCGACAGCGCGACCCCTGCGGACAGGGGGACACTGTGGGCGTCGCGTGCTGGCGCGTGCTCGCGCGCGACCCCAGGGAGGCGTACTAGGCCCTGCTCAGGATGTTGAGGGCGACGGCCGTGCCGATGACGTTCTGCATGTCGCAGCTCAGGATGGCCACCTCCATGAGGGCCCACTTGAAGTAGCGCGGCGCCAGGCAGTAGAAGGTGGTGCAGTGCTGGGCCAGGTGGTGCTTGGAGGCGGCTCCGAGGCGCAGGGCCAGACGCTGCAGCAGCACGCTCATCAACGCCGTGAGCAGGTTCAGCCACAGCAGCTGCGCAAGGACGACACACTGTGTAGGCCAAAGACGGCAACGACACTAGATAAATTTATGTGACATACTTGGTATGTCGCATGTATGGTTTGACCATTTTTGGCCACGTTTTGGTGTTATCTCTTACGTGTTTTTCCTATGCCTCTTAGCTATGATGTTGCGTTAATTGGTGCGACCGAAACCTTTATCACATTTCGTGGTAGGACCTAAACCAGTCGCATCAATTTACGTGACACGACACATGTCACATTAGTTTTTCTAGTGAAGTCCTACCTGAAACTGCGCGCCCGACCCGGACTCCACGTTGGCCTCGATGCTGCCCGAGTTCAAATATGACGTACTGATCATGGCGCCGGGGCCGCTGAACCGCCAGACCTGCTTCATGCTGGGGGAGAGAGGACCCATGTGATTTGATTCACCCCATCTATAGAACACTGGCCTCCCCGACCACCTTTCTGTGAGGCCCTTTCGTGGTCCCTTCGTACCCGCTGGCGAGGACGCTCATGCGAGAGCTCTCCGGGCGCGGGGCGGCTGGCGACGGAGGTTCTGGGGTGCGCCCCGCTGCAGGTCCTGAAACTTTCTCCGTGTCCTGCATCGCGCGTCTCTTATGCGACTGGGCAGTCCTCCTGTAGGTTCTGTAGTTCTGCAACTCTTGCAACTCGTGCAAACGCAGCGCCGCCTAACAATGCCGGGCGAAAATCATGCAGGCGCTCTTCCACTTTCTACTACAAGGCGCCGCTGTACCCGCCGCAGACCAAGGGGAAGCTTTTGCGATTTGTGCGAGTTATTCTTGGTTTTTCTAATCCTCTTCCTTTTGTTTCTTGTCACAAGCTGTCGTTATTGGTTGATCTCAGTATGTAGCCACGGCACGGCGTGTGATGACATTTTATTCAAATCCTACTCAATTTCCCGCCCTGAGCTCGCGGAGGCGCGAGGCTGACACAGTCAGCTCCGCAACACCCCCGGAAGGCGCGCCTTCGTCGCTACCCCGCTTGCGCAGCTCGGGCGAGCAGCAGGTGGATACGCCGCGCCGGCAGGTCCGTCGCGGCCGATGGCCCGAGCAGGTGGCGCTACTCCTCGTCGCGGACGCTCCTCCGCGCACATGTGGTGTGCTCTGCGCTGCGGGCCACTGGGACTGGGCGGAGGACGAGGTCTCTGCCGCCGAGTCTGTTTGGACGTTTGTCTCTCGCAATCAACGCAAAGGCATAGTTGGTGCTTACTTTCCCGCGTTTGTTCGCCACCCGTTGTCCGTCCTGGAGGTTGTGGATAAAAGGGGGGGGGCAGGGGAGTGGCACCCAGCCTGCCGGCCGGCGGCGGTGCATCCTGCGGACCCTGCCGGCGGCACCCTCCCTCGCTCGCTCCTCCCGGACATGACGGCGGCGTTCTATTTCTGCGGTTTTGGCCAGCAGGCCGCGTGGCGCGGCTCCGCCATGCCCGGCCTGCCTATTAATATGTGGAGGCCAGGAGGCGCAGGCCGCCGCCGATGGTTCTGCCGAGCAGCTGAGTCATGCAGGTGTGAGGTGCCTGGTGCCACACGGCTGAGTGCCACACGGCTAGGTGCCACGGCTAGGTGCCACACGGCTGGTGCGTTCCGTGCCGGCGGGGTGACCCCCAGCCCCAGCGCGCAGGCGATGAACGCCTCGGTCAAGGCCGTGCGCCTCTCGACGCGGACGTGCGGTCGGATTATTTGCGCCGCGTCGTCTCTTTCTATTATTATTTCTTCTCTCTCTCTCTCTCTCTCTCTCTCTCTCTCTCTCTCTCTCTCTCTCCCTCTCCCTCTCTCTGTGTCCCTCCCTCCCTTCCTCCCTCTCCGGACGCCAGCCAGAGATCGGTCGGTGCGCCGGATGGTTCGGCGCGCGTTTGCCATGGGCACACTTGCGGCGGCGGCGGGTGCGCGTCCTCCAGAAGGTGGCCTGGAGGACGCGGGCTGACGACCTGCCCGAGAGGAGGTCGCCCCTCCATGAGGATCATGCCCAGCTCGTTTGGGGCTCGTCGCGAAGCCATCTCGGGATCCAGATGATGGGTCCTCCAAAGGTGGCCTGGAGGACGTACCTCCGTAACGACATGCAGAACGTCCTGTCAAGCGCTTTCAGCGCGAACTGAAACTCCAAAAATGGTCCGGATCAGACATAAGCGGTAGCGGTGCCCTCGTATTACCATTACCATTTGACATTCCCAACCCACCTCGGTCGCTCTGGAGGGGTTGGCGGGGGCGTTCCCCCTTCTGGCCTCCACCTAGCAGGGATCCGCTCGTGAGCCATCGCCGCCCTCCTCTGGCCCGCCGCGCAACAAAGTCGTACACCAGGGCGTGTTACAGCACACTTGCGTGTGTCTGAGAGAGAGAGAGAGAGAGAGAGAGAGAGAGAGAGAGATAGAGAGATAGAGAGAGAGAGAGAGCGAGTAACGCTCTGAACTTGGCCCCTAAAACCACTTGTGTGTGCGGTGCGGCGTGGAGGGGTGGGCGGGGGGGCCCTGGCTGGAGCGTGACGGTGTGAATGGGTCCTCCAGATCTGGAGTGGCTCCCGGCCGCAATTAGTGTAGCGGGTTGCCTACCTGCCGCGGGGGCTTTCGCCGACTTCCGCCTCGCCCCCGCCGCCCCTCACACTCCACCTACTCTCCCCCGCCCCCCTCTCCGCGCAGAAAGCCTCGCACGCCCCGCGAGAGAGGTTGTGCGGTGGGGTCGTCGCGGACACTTACTTGGAACGTGTAATCTCGCGAGATTCGAGGGATTAAGTTTGTAATCGCCGTTCGTTCGGTGGATGTCGATATATTCCATTCCATCGCCGAAGCGCTTTATGTCCTTTTTTGTCCTACTCGTGCGCACCTGGTTGTTGGTTTTTTTTTTCGGAAAAAGGGGGGGGGTGAATATTTTGAATGGGAAAAACGTACGCGGTTGTACGGCTGGAGGACGGGCGGGGACGAGTCACGGGACTGACGCCGGCCCGGCCCGGTCGGGTGTGCCGTGGTGTTTGAAAAGCAGCGCTGTGTGAGTGAGTGAGTGTCTGTGAGTGAGTGAGTGAGTGAGTGAGTGAGTGTTGGCTTCCTGTGTCACCAGCGGCAAACGCGACGCTCGGCTCGCCAGGTCTTCCAAGAGACAGTTTTTCACGGCTGCCCCCC